AAAGCAAAGGGAAAGTGAGTCTGAAGTCTTGTCTTCATGCTGTTCTCTAAACGTCTGCTTTCTCTGTGGCAGATGGTCTCTCTGGTCTGATCACTGGGGCCATTGCATTGCTCTTCTCTGAGAATCAGAGTGCAGTGGAGTTCCCTTGCTTTATTGGTCTCCTGTTGGCTTGAATAAGATCTTCAGATGTTTCTGAGTTTCCGCAACCTTCTTCTTCCAGGTTGTGTCTGAAATGGTCATATGCAGCCTTTCTGGCGGGATCATTTTGCCCCTTGCTGCATTAGCCCATGTCATATATGCTAGTTTTCAACTCAGTTAAGTTGCTTCTTATTTACCTCTATGGCACTTCCACATTGCAAAGATTCCTAGGTCTAGCAGGACGTTTTCTATAAACAAATCTTCCAGAAACAGAAGAATGCTCACACAGTAAGTCAGGGAAACCAAATTTATTACTCGAAGAGGGGCAGGAAGAATCAGCAAAAACCTAATTTCTATGGCAAGCCTTACCTTTGAGATCAGAGAAGTTGCCAAGGGTTGACAGTCTCCTCTGCGCACGCCCCACTTTGTACTGCAGCTGAGGATCCCCTAAGTTCTCCACTGAAGTTTTATATCCCATGTGCAACTTGGCTCTCTGAGTTTAAAAGTTGCAGAAATATCTGGTTCCAGGAGGAACAGGAACAGAGCCCAGGCTGTTCCAGACAGTTTTTCTCTTCATCTCAGGATATTGTCTTCTCGGAACATTCTACAATTATTCTGAGAACTAGGAGGTAGAGAAAGCTGAGTTTGTCAAGGTCATTAAGGTCTTGTCCTCCTGCCCACATAAAGTAGACTACAGAACAATAAGCATTAGCAGAAATAATCACATTGCATTATAATGGCCATTCTTTGTTATGATAAAAGAATTTATCCACCAAAAAGTTATCCAAATTCTAACTCTGAATGAACCTGACACACACAGATTTGGGTCCATTGTTACGCTTTAATACAAGATTTACTAAACCAAAAAATTTAATTAAATACATAAACTCTAGAAGAAGTATACAAATCATAAAGGCTCATTTCAGCAAAGGCTGGCATACAAAGTTATCCGATACGTGACAGAGTAATAGAAACTGTTAACAATGCCTAGACAGGGCAAAGTGAATATTATTACTATTCAAATCAGCAAAGAAGACAGTTAACTCAATAGAAAAATGGGTCCAAAAATTCCAATACATTATTAGCAATCTGACAAATGCAAATGTGCACAAATAAAATGAGATCTGTATTTTCACCACTTGCTTAGAAAATGCAAGAATCTTAGATAACATTGTGAGATAAGGATATGATGAGAAACAACCTTTTTTTCCCTTTAGAATTATTTTATTAAATCATAAATGTACAACAGCTTCTTAACTCTACACACACACTTAAATTTTTT